GTGTGTGTGTGTGTGTGTGTGTGTGTGTGTGTGTGTGTGTGTGTGTGAGAGAGTGTGTGAGAGTGAGTGAAAAAGAGACGCGCAATTGTCTTTTTCTCTGACACACTCCCTTTTTATCTTGTTCCTCCATGTAGTCACCTCTTTTGTTTATGTTAAGTTAATGTAAGTTGTCCATGTAATTTTTTTTTTTTTTTTTCAATTAAAATCTAATATCTTACTTGTTTTCTACATTCGCTTATTCTCCTCTTTTTTTTTTGTTGTCGTCTGCAGGGAAAGCTGAGAGGATGAAACGGTTATGATCTGTAGACCGGCCTCATTTTAAGGAGAGGTAACATGAAAATACGTGACAGTCATGTCACTTTTTATTTGACTTTAAGGAGCTCGTACGTCCAGTGCTCATGAACGCAGCTTTGTTAGTGTCTGAAGTCTGCACATAACACACAACACTCTGTTTACACACAACAAACCAGATCATTGAACGCGTCACGTAGTGCTTCCATAATGTAGATTTATTAGAATATTCAGAGTAGTGCTATAACTTCTCATTCACTAGAGCTTCTGTCGATTCATAGTTTTCATGGACGTGTGTTGACAGATGCTCCGCAGAGAAATAAATCTGTAAAGCAACATGAGGGGAATAAACAAAGGGCTACCTAATATTTATATTACTAATTACGGAATTTACAGTCACAAAATTTCAGGAGCAGTTCAAAGAAATGTGTGGGGTTTTCCTCACTGACATAATAAAGAATATTAATAAATACATGTTTCCCCCCCCCCCCCCCCCTCTCTTTGAGTAGATCTCTGGAGTAAACCCTCTTTAAAAAGTCAGCTCTGAAATCAGTGTTGTTTCAGTGATTTGCTACAAAATGAAATAGAGATGATACACAATTCGCAAGTTGAGAGGAAATACAAACAGCTGCTTTTTTCATTTTTTTGCAAAAGAAACACGGAACAGATAGTTATGGACATACAGTAGAAAACTCCAGCAACTGTCTGCATCTCTCTCTATATATTGCCAACATGTTACCAGCTTGTGTTGCATTTCTGACAAAGACCCATATTCGTCGGCTGTGGGAGAGTTAATAAAAATAAAAAACACTGATGAGAGAGCCGGAGTGGGTGATGAGTTGTTAGTCCGATAGAGTTCACACCGCAGACAGAAGCAACAAACTCATTCCTTCCCATCAGTCCAGCAGGAGACTCATCAAACAACTCTTCAGTCAGTGACAACAGTGATAAACCATGTTGGAGTACCATGAGACAAGTCAGGAATAATTAAGATTGACAGCTGTGTAGGTTCTGCTCTTTGGATAACTACATCTTTTACACCTCTCTCCACCCAAAGAACAGGACAGGGAACTCCATGAGCCTCAAATTGTTACTTTCCTCTTGCTGAATTTGAACAAAGTGCCCACTGTTTGATAGAGAAAGGCATGATGGGACTGAGAGATGGGATGGGACCATAAAGCCTGAAGGAGGGGGGGTTACATTGAGGATGAGACTAAGGGAGTCAGGACTTGATACAGTAAAGAATAAGGAGGACGAAGGGATGAACTGGGGAGGTGTCTGGTCTGGACCCTGCTGCTCTAATTGGATTTTGAGGGTGCCCTGCTCTGCTTAGGCAAAGACCCTGTTCCCTTTCTGGTGGGAGTCTGTGTGTCAGCAGAGCTTAGAGGAAGTTGTGCTTGAGGATAAAAGTTTAGTTTGTTTAGTTTTCCCCAGCAGAGACCGGAGCGTGATGTTTAGATTTCTGCTTTAAACCCCGCGTGTACCTGACCGCCATGCTCATCAGGGCGCATGTGTGGCTCTCCAAAGGGCTCCGTGGGAATGTTGAGTTTCTAAGTGAGCAAGAAAGAGTGAAAAGAGGCTGTATTAAATGCGGCTATGCATATTCTGATGTGTTTATCAAGTCAAAAGCGGTTGTGATTCGGCGACACACAAACATCCTTTTAGTGTTTTATATCTGCGGAGGAGGGGCTACTCTTCTGAGAGTGAAGAGTTAAAGTCATCGCAGGTTTAGGAAACTGACCGTGTCCAGAGTTTTGCAGGTGCAGTTGCATAATATTGTTTTAGGGTTGAGAGATGGTGACCAAAACGTTTGACTTTATTGTCTTTGCTTTGAATCAGTTTGACAGGATTTTTATTTTTTTTTTGGATGACGGAGGGCCTCCCTGACCTATACAGCCGACTACCCCAGTGAACTCAGTGTTATAATGGGTAAGAAACTCTTCACTGTTCCAGTACAGACAGCACAATGTTTTGCTTCTCATTTTCTCTCCCTGTGCTTCAGAACAGGTTCGTCTTGATGCCGGGGTTGGGTTTTCTGTGGAAGGAGGACAGGACTCCAGCAAAGGGCCCGGTCATACTGTCCGCCGGCTGCCAGGCCTTCAGAATCTCCTGAGTCTGGGCAGCCGGCTGGGCCACGGCCGGGTTGGACGGCCCCATGCTGGACCAGCTGGGCGGCTTCAGCCCCTGGAGGACCGGGGAGCTGGAGGTGTTGATGTAGCCGCTGTTGATGGGAACCGGGCTGGGACTCAGGCTGGCGGGGCTGCCCAGGTTCCCGTTGGCCGAGCCCGGCAGGGAGGCCGTGCTGTCCGGCGTGGGGCTGCAGGTGGATTCTTTGGACTCGTCGTCGTCAGAGGAAGACCTCAGCTCTCCGCCCTTCTTGCATCCAGAACTGCTGCCGGAGCTGCTGCCCGTGGTGCCGCCAGAGTTGCTGACTTTGGCGTTGGCTGCGCGCTCCTGCTTACGAAACTTGGCGCGCCTGTTCTGAAACCACACCTGTTACACAGACAAAGTTAAAAAAAAAATGAATATGTGAGTAAAAGACATGGCGTGGGAGGCATAGATAGATGTCAGATAACAACCATAAAGTCAGACAGAAGTAAATGGGACAAGGTATTAGAAAGCAGCAGTTTAAACGCCTGTTCCTCTCACCTGTACTCGCGCCTCGGTCAGGTCTATCTTCAGCGCCAGCTCCTCGCGGGTGTAGATGTCAGGATAGTGCGTCTCGGCAAACACGCGCTCCAGCTCCTTCAGCTGGGAGCTGGTGAAGGTGGTCCTGATGCGCCGCTGCTTCCGCTTCTCGTTCAGGCCGGAGGGGTCCGAGAAAAACTTGTAAGGGACTGTGAGGGGGAAACATGATATATATATATATATATATATATAGTTTAGTGGTCGAAAAGCAACATTTAACATGGTCTGACAGCAGAGGCCCCTGATTTAAATGATAAGGAGAGGCCCCGCGTAGATGAAGCAGGACCTTTCTTAACTCATCGGGTTTTAAAAAAGAAAGAAAGGAAAATAACTTTTATTAAACGACGTCATCAGGAAATCTGTCATCATCAGTTTTTCGTTAATTAACAAACTGTGTTTCTACAGTATAGGCCTATTTACTGGTTTGTTGAAGTCTGATTAATTGTTTGATTACAAAAGGATACAAATGTGTGAAATACGCAAATCAACATTGTACATTTGTATTGTATTTGGCCTAAAACTTTTCTTTGTTTTATAACGTTGACTGAGTTTTGCGGCTCGCAATAGGCCTTAGAGAGGGTTAAGGCTTAAAACTAATTCGGCTGTTTATTTATTATCATATTATATGTTTAGATTATTATTCATTTATGTATCGAATTTATAAAATGTTTTACAAATCCAGCACGTGAACCTTAATCAGTAAAGATATGCGGTCAGTTTGCAATTAAAATGTATTGGTTATTTTGGAGTAACGGCTTCTAGAAATGTCACAATGGGTTATTTAAAGTCAATCCTGTCAAAATCGAAATTCAATCAGAAAGGAACAGAACTTAACTGCTTTAAGAACATAAACGAACAACATATTTAGTTTAAAATCGTATTTAAATTTGGACACAATTAGCCAGTGGTTGCAAGCAAATGAATAACATTTTTTTCTGTTGGGTGGGCCTATTGCCAACAGGTGTGTGTGTGAGATTTGTCAAGGATGATTTCGTTTTTAAAAATTATGTTTTATTATTATTATTCGTATTATTATTATATGAGCATATGTAAAATTATTCTTATTTAGGCTGTTGTAGATTGATGTGTGCTATATGACATATTGTTTAATTACCATAGAAATACAATGTTTTACCTTTAAAAATCTCTTGTCATCATTAATGTAAACACATTACCTGTAAATCATTACATTAATGCAAATGTCTTTATTCTGCAGTGATTTCATTCTAAATCTGGAATGAAGTCTGTTAAGATAAAAATCCACGTAAAACCATTTAGGCCTGAAACTGATGGTCATCAAAAACGAAAAATAGAGTTGACAATTAGATATTTTCCTTTTTCCTTTGCTTTTTAAATGTCGATGTGTGTCAAAGTCAGAGAAAATGATGAGTCGACTAAACGTGTTTTCCACGTTTAAAACAAACACGAGCCTATAATGAACCACATCTTATCTGTATGTCCCCGCAGACCTCCGGAGGAATAAAACAGGCTCCATACCTGAGGAGTACGGTGTGGGCTGGTGCTCTCGCAGCGCTCCCAGGGTGCAGCTGGCCGTGCTGAGCGGAGTGCAGCCCGGGTTGGAGAACGGTCCGCTCCGGATCGGGTTGTACTGGAAGGAGCTGGCCTGGCTGCACGAGCTGAAGTCCGCGTAGGCCGACGCTTCCATGGCCGCCATGCAGGAGTCATAGGAGTTCAGATAGGAGTAATCCATTTTATACATGGAGAGGAGCCGGTGCAAACACCGGTCTGCAAGCCAAACACGACGAGGTGAACTCTGAGAAGCTCTGGTGTGTCTTCAGCCGCCTTTTATTTTTAGGAGATATAGTGACTATTGTTCAAACCGGTCGGAGTTGGTCTGTGTCCCCAGTATCTCCCGGGACTGTTGGTTTCGTCTCTTCAAAACTCCTTGTCCAGATTTTTATATCTCACTGTCACGCGGCTGTTTTTCTTTGGTAAATAATCCAGATGTTTTCCCTTTTGTTCTCTCTACAGCTCTCCGCTGTCCTCCTTCACTTTCTCTTGCTCCTGGGTTTTTCTCCCCTCGGTGCTTCTTCCCCTGGACTGCAGCTCGCTCTCTGCTCTCGCGCTCCGTTTTGACAGTGCGCTGCGGCTCGCGCAGTGTTTATAATAAACTTGGCAGAGCGCGAGACAATAGCGAGGCGGTGGTCTAGTTTCCATGACAATGCCACCAGTGAGTGAGCGTGGACACGGACAGCCCCCCTCCCTCCCCCCTATTCCCCCTCCCACCGCTCACTGCACCGCCCACGCGCTCCAGAACATCGCGAGCTCGCAGGTGTCAGCAGAGTTAAATCATCTAAAAAACAACGACTTCTTCATTAAAATTGTTGAAATGTTGATGCTTCCTTTATCGGACGCTTCTAATGCCGGCGAGTCAAGTTTTCTCAGCGCACACATAACCAAAACCAGGCGTCGGTTTCTTCCAATTTCCTTTAAATAAAGCTATGAACTGCGTTTTTATAAGTTAAGTCTCCAGGAAGAAATGTAAGGAGCAATTTTAAACCAAGACGGGCACTTCTATACTTTTTATCTGAGCTTAGGTGAACACTTTCCTCTCTTTTCCCACTATGTTGAGGGAACGCTCGAGCTATAATTCAGTCTGAAAAGAGCAGCACACCACAGCCTCTAAAAGTGAATCATAAACCGGTTGTACAATAGTTTCGCATTCAGGCAGAAGGACTGACTGTTTGGGACATTTGGGGATGGAACACCATGAATAGGAATGTAGCGTTTGGTCAAATATCACAAGATAAGATAGGCCTAAAAACTGAATATAAAGGAGCAATATTCGCTCGGTTAGGGATTGAATTATGTCCGATATTGAAGGCATCTACAAGAAAAACTTACACTCAGGAAATACATAATTTCACTGGTCTTGGAGAGTCTGATATCTGAATATTTTTGCGATAGCCCCTATACGATTAGTTTATGCCGAAACAGTGTAATTAGTAGCTTATTTGCAAGTGACTAAAATGCATCTCAATGAGCAGGTGCAGCTTGAGCCCCAAATAACGCTCCGTATAGCCGGTCAATGTAGTTTCACTGACCCACACACGGCACAACGAAACAACTGCAGCGCAGCCACAGAAGTCTTTACGTGGTGGAAAACGTCCAGATGTGACGGTGATTGGTGAGATTAAAAGCTTTGATTTGATTCCGATCACTTTTTACGGAGATGTCACCAGAGTGAGCGTCACTTTGATGTATAGGACGAGAGAGGGAATTGGCTGCGGAGACAAGTGAGCAACCGCGACAGGCTAACCATAAACGCATTGACGCTTCATAAATTGGTTTAAGTTTATTGTTCGGTGTCATACAATGTGATAAGTCATATCCCACACGGCCCCCATATCACACACACGCGCGCGCAAACACACAGAAAGGACTTGAAACCAGAATACTGGCAGGCAGGCGCGCGCTCCATGCAGTCTTAAAACCGGCACGGCTGCATTTCAGACTGTGTTCATTAAATTAACAGGCGTTTTATTAGTGGATAAATTTCACCAAATAACACAACCCACAAACCAAAAATTACGTTTAACGTGCATGCGAGGAAATAATTAAGTTTGGCTTGAGCGCGCGCGCTCCAAAGTGCGCGCTTTTATCTCTGCTTGACCAGAGGCTGTACGCGATGCTCCTTGATGTCATTAACCCAGAAAACACACACGCGCGCGCATGCGTGTTTTCGCCGCGCCTGTACTCGCTTAAACTACAAATAAGTATAAATAATACGATTTGTTTAAAGCGTTCGTTGTGTGGTCGGTGAGGAGCTGGTGGATGTTTGGGGCGGGGCGGCACGCGGGGCTCCTGTTGATACAGTTGCAGATGGAACGTCACTCATCAAGGCCACGAGAGCTCTCTGAGTTTAAGAGGACACATCTCGCAGTCTTCTGGTCCACTCTACATGCTCTACATGTTCTCATTATATGATTCCAGTTTGTAATCTGAGTTACACTCCCGCTCTTGATCGAGTTTCAGTTGTTCGCAGAATTCGTCTTTTGTCTTATTCTATAAACTTCTGATTCGGGTCGAATGTGTATAGTCACAGTGTTCCAAGTAATATCTAATTATTTATGCAAAAATATCAACCCAAATATTTTGCTCCAATTTAGAAAAAAATCGTCTGCAAAGATGTTCAGATTTTGTGCACCATGCCTTCCAGAGATAACGACAATAGGCCTCGATGCTTGAGACCCAAAATGCAAGATGGCATAGTTTCCCTTCCTAAATGAACTCGGATAAAATGCTGCAACACCGATATAGAGTTCTGTGCGATCCCTGTGAAGCAATTTAAATAAATACGTGTCATCAGCCTCGTGATTTAACCAATCAGCTCCCACGTCTGGTGGGTTCAGAGGTGAGTTTACCGAGAAACTTAAACAGTTTCAAAGTTAAACTCTCCAGGCCGTTTCTGCCTCCCCCCCCCCCCCCCCAAAAAAAGAGCAGCCAGCGAGTTCTCCTGCATTTAGGCATTTCAACTTTAATCCCTTCAAAGACGGGACCGGTCTCTTCCAGGCCACTAATCCGCCCTATAGTGCTCCAGCTCAGGGGGAGACTTCTCCTCTGGGGAGGCTTTAACTTTGGACTTTTACATTCATGGGGGCGATTTGACGGAAACAGTTGCGGGGATCTTTGGCATTCATGACGTCTGAGTCAACACAGGGGGACACAATGGTCCCCTAGAGGCTCCTGAGGGCCCCTGAGAGAGGAACCCTGACTATAGGGATTATGAGCCCCATTGGAGGACTGGGTTATTAGGGGGGAAATCTTATGGACGCACTTAAAATATCGGCTGTCCGTTTCTAATCAAAGTTATGATTGAGTTAACATTAAATGATCGGTTCACTTTACAGTGACCAGTTTGTCCTTGATTTAAAAAAACAATATCCAATATTAAAACAGGTTGTAATAGCAGGAGCGATTAAGGCAGTTAAGCAATTAACCACAAGTTCAGGTATAACGAAGGCAAACATATAGTTAAGAATATATTATTATAATAAAAGTCATGGTATTTCTCTGTGATTTGTTGTTATGTGTCCCTTGATTACTGGGCTCTCTGTTTAACGACCCTGATGCATCATAAATAACTATAGGGTGGAAAGCCTGACCCAAACATTTTTTGCTGAGAGATTCTCTTTTCTGCGCTGTGGTTGCAAAATGTATTATTAAAAAAAAAAAGCACCAGGCCATATATTCACACCCGTAATTGCCCTGTCCGTCCTGGTTTATTTCAAGCACGAAAGGGTTCACGATCTGTAGAAAAATCTTAATTAAATTCCCAACATTTGTTCCCTCTCTGCTCCCGTCTCTCCTGCACCCAGTAATTGTTTGTGATGGTCTTCCACCCCTCAGACGCCGACTGGAGATCTGCGGGGCTGCATGCAGATTGGCTCTATCGACGCCAGCATGTATAGGGCAACTTGTGTGTGTGTGTTTGTGTGTGTGGGTGTGCGTGCGTCAGGGGTGGTGTGGGGTTGGAGAGACTGGTCTCTGTGATGGATGGCTGGATGGTCTTGATGGAGAGATGGAGAGGTGTATGGATAGAGACATGATGGGGATAAGGGATGAGTGAAAGATGGGACAGCGGCGACACTGGTGTGAAGAAAAGCCGCGCGGGAGGCCGCAGCCCGGTATCTGTCCCGTGACACGCGGTGGTGGTCTGAAAAACAAGTGAAGCTGTCAGTCAGAGAGAGACAGAGACTGCCAGATCCATCCATCATGGAAGCTCAAAGAACAACATGAGCCGAAAGCCGTTTTCCTGCTTCTGTAAAAACTGAGGCAGCTATTGATCCTCGGGTCTGGATAGAAACCCTCCTCTTTGTCGAGATGCGCAAATTAATAATTACTTTATTATATTTATGTTTTATATAGAGTTGATTGAAGTCGGTGCCACTGGTCCGATCATGAACACATAGAGTCAAACTGAGTTTACATTCCATAATAATCAGCATGTGATGGTTGCTGCTGCAATAAAATGCAACCAGGGGGACAAAAAAGAAAGGAAAGACATGAAGGTGCATTGACCTAGTGTGTGAGGCTGTAGTGCACACCCTCTGTAAAGAATTAACCCTCCACAGTGTCTTGATTCCTTCTGAGATTACATTTTAGTTAATGTGATAAAGATTTATTTTTAAGAAATCGTTAAAACAGCTGCAACTATTTTAACAAATAACAAAACAGTTATCAATAAATTAAAATCAAATTGTAATAGTTTATGCTGTCAGTTATGTTTTGATTATATGACCTTCATATACAGTAGTCCATAAATTAAATTGACCATTAACATTATTTGTGACCTATATTTGGCCTATCTTCTCCTTCTTGGATGTTGTTGTTGTGCCTATTGAATTATAACCAATCACGATGTGGACAGCATGAATAGAATAAGAGTCTGTTTTCGTCGCACTGCATCAAATGAGTCCCCTAATGATCATTTCATTGCCACCTGTATCTATTTTAGTTGTGTGCAAAATACGCAAAAATAAATAACTGATTGAATTCTCTCACTTTACAAGGTTTTTTGATCTTAGCACGTGTCCATAATATACCTTAGATTAATTAATTTGTAACCTCCTGTTAAAAGTGTAGCATATTAATGCATCTTAGATATTTGCAAACGATTCTATAATTTAATTATTAGGACCATACTTCTTATTTTATTTGCTGCAACTTCCTCCTTCACTGTGCTGACTAAACCCATCAGGCCCGCGTGCACAGCCGAGCAGCTAGCTCTCCACCTGCAGTGTCACTAAAATGTGTCGTGTCATCGCCCCTCTTAAGAGCCTCTCCTCTCGTAGGTGAATTTGATTGCGCATAAAATAACATCAAAAAAAATCCCAGAGCCATTCCGTTAACATCGGCCATGCGCCTTTCCAGCAGCAGAGGCTGGCGGTGCATTTGATTTGCCCGGTGATGGATGAGAGACGGTGCAGGAGATAGGGAGGGAGGGAGGAGGTGGTGGGCACAGCGGCCGGGGGTCCCGTCGGTGTGCCTGTCCCCGCATTTCAATCCCCAATTACCGGAATGTACCGTGACGCTCCGGCTCGAGACGACGGTGCGCATCTAACCGGGTTAGAGACGGGAGCGACAGCACCCAGTGTAAGAGTTACATTCAACTCTTCACTCAGGTACAGTGTTGATGCACATAATCAAAACCAGCGTGGGCCCGTAAAGCCTTCTCTACAAGAGGAAAATAAAATAAATAACACTGGTACCAATATTGGTGAGAGCCAGGAAATATTTTCTTACCTCAATCAAATGATCTTCAGTCTATGGGCCACAATGTGCCCTTTATGTGGGTCATAGTTGTAATCTGGCACACAGGAAGAGAAGTTGTTAAAAGCGTTGTAATGCATAATCGAAACAGCGTGAGATGGCACAGAGGCATCCCCAAAATCACCACAACATTTGGAAGAAAGTCCTGGAGTGAAATCGTGTTTTTTTTCCGGATGTAAAATCTCATCATATTGCACCAATTTTTCATGTTCAAAATATCATCATTGGGACCAATAAAAGCGCCCGTAGATAAACCACTGTGGCGCAGAGGAACATCATATCTGCCCGAATACTCAAATGAGTTTAGCTCAAGTCAACATGAGCCAAAATGCAGTCAAAGAGCCAAAGTTATTATCAGATTGCATCAAAAACGTGAAGTGCAACACAGTCTAATGAGGGAAAATATATGTCCAGCACAAAGGCTCATCAGGCTGATGTTTTTGTCAGTTGCTACAAAATGTGGCCATTCATTTTACCCTCTCAAATTACACTCACACTAATTTAAGTCCACTCTAACATCAATTCAACATGCACTCGTCAGCCGGAATATGACGCAGGGCAGCTGCGGTTATTCACATGCTGCGTACATCTCTCCACTGCGGCACCAGACCTGTATTATCCTAATGGATAACGGCATGTTACTTAAAAAAGAAGCTTTTTAGGATAAAAAAAAAACACGTCCCGGGAGACCACGGTACACACACACTCTCACACACACACACACACACCACAGCTGGAGCGGGCGAGGGATGGCCGCGCGCAGGAGAGCTTCTCCAAACACGCTAATTAGATCTCGAGCTCTGGCCCCGCGCTCTGAAAGCAGCCCAGCGGCGGGGCGCGCGGAGCTGTGGAAAGTTAATTGAATTAAATTCCCTCTAAACTAATTAGGCTGCAATCTGCCACGCGAGCTGTCCCTGAGCAAGGTTCGAATTAGGCGGAATGGATTCTTTCCTTTTCTTTAAAAGAAAGGATGGCAGACTGGTGTGTTTTTTGGTGGGGTCCTTTATTTGTCTTTTATGCTAATTCTCCCAGGGGACTGTCACGTGATTGCCTTGCGGTAACCGGACGGCATCCGGTGTGTGCAAACCGAACCACAACAAAGCTACCATAACATACCCATGCCGATAACACCGAGAGCCTCAAAGTCTCATTTGAGCAACCATATGTAAAAACCCAAAACAAAAGCCTCGTGCAGGCTGTGATAACTGTGCTGCTCCACAGCTGCACGAGTGAGGAGCATCTTTAAGGCTGAGAGGATGGAGGTAATGGAGGTGAAATCGATCGCTTTCCTGAGGGAGCACAATGAGAAGGAGAGGGAGAGATGAGAGGAGTGCGGAGGGACACGGATGAAAATCCCCCGTTAACAGCGGGGACAGATATGATAATGGGAGAGCCTCTAGTAGTCGTTCATCATTCACCACCTCCACCTGGCTGCATGCTGCACCTCTCCCAGCTGCTGCTGCTAGTAAAATCAAACACACCCAAACTTCTTTATCTTTTTATGAACAGAACATATAATAGTATTCAGAAGAAGAGCACATGGGCCAGATCTCACTCATAAAGCATCATGTGACACATTCAAACACACACTGGAAACCCTATTGCATCAAAATAAATGCCAATAGACACAGTACCGTCTCAAATCTGGGCTGATGTAAATAGAGCGGGTTGACTCCGCAAAGAAACTCTCGTGCTCTGTACTGCTATTTGTATTACTCTGGGCATTGTTTGCATTTACTATATAGTTGACAGTACAGACATGAGAGGAATAAGAGGAGAAAGAGATGAGGAATGAGGTCCCAGTCTGGACAAAAGACTGGAGACCTTGTGGTTCATGGTCAGCACCTTGAACCCAGAGGCCACTAGGGCACCCCAAATGTTTTTTTAAATAATTTGGTTGATTACAGTTTGCTTAGAGAATTTGCGCCACTAACATGCAATATCAACGAAGGCCTTAATCTGTGCCGGTCATGTGTTGCTGCTTCTGCTGCTTGGACCCTGGTCTTTGACCAAGGAAATATATTCACAGTAACGCAACAAACAATACTGAGAAATACAGATGTTTTTGTATGAATATGAAATGTTTTCCCATCTTTCCTCCTCCCGTGTTTGACCTTTACCATCTCGCTCACTTCTCTGTTTCGCTTCTCTCTTGCACCTTGAACTCTCGTCTCATTTGCAGCAGCAGCAGAAGGCGGAGGAGACACACCAGGACAGAGAGGGACGGACGGATGGACAGCAGAGGAAGAAGAGGGAAGGACTGAGAGGAAAAGGTGGAGGAGAGAGAGAGAGAAGCTGAGGATGGGGGGAGGGTTGAGCAAAATGTAGCGAGATAGAGTGAGAGGGAGGTTAGGACGATGGAGGGCCAGGTTTCTGTTTCTCCATAATCTAATCAGAGAAATGGCAGCAGTCAGAAATAGCCTGACGGACAGACTAAGAGCCTCTTCTCTCTCCCCCTCCTCCTCTTATTCTTGTCTTCCTCCTCGGGGAGGGTAAATGGATACACACACACACGCACACACGCCAGCTTGACTTCCTAAAACCATAAAGTGCAGATGTGTTTGAGGGTATAAGAGAGAGGGGGAAAGAAAGTATTGCGTTATCAAAGAAAAACCTGATCTACTGTATCTCGATGCAGCCACTTCAAGAGTCCCACTTTTGAAAACATCTGCTGTGTTGCTCCTTTGATCAGCTTTACAAAATGCGGATAACATTTTAATAGTATTTGACAATTTGTTTACAGTGCAATTTACAATTAATACAACCACAAAGTAAGCTGAGATTCCGAGTGGTTGGCAGACAAATATAGAAAATACTTTGCCCTCTTCTCAGTTCCCCGGAAGTACAACAAAAGATCAAACCTTTTGAGGACCGAGCCTCAAAATGTAATGCACTGCACTGCTGAGCCAACATTGATTTACATAATTAAAACTATACTAATAGAGGAGAATTAATAAAGCAGAATGTCTAAAAAGTTTTATTGGAAGAAAACCGGGGGTGCAACTAACGATTATTGTCCTTATTGATTCAACGATTATCTTTCCGATTAATCATTTAGATACTGAAACATCAGAAAATATTGAAAAGCGCCCATTGCAAGTTACCAAAGCCCAAAACGACATCTTCAAATTGCATTTGAAGAACAGTAACAGTTGAAAACACAAAGATATTTAATTTACAATAATAGAAAAACAAGAGTTAATAAGCTGGAAACAGCAAATATCTGGCAATTTTTGCTTGAAAATGAATGATTAATTGATCACCAAAATTGTTGGCTATTCATTTTGTGCTGACTAATTGGCTGACCGATATTTCAAACCCACAGAAGATGATCCCGGTGTTAATACTGCAAATCAACAGGGAATGACAGCTGTGACTCTGCAGATGTGTGTAAAACCGGCTAAACGTGTGTGTTGTTGGGGGGTCCAGGAGGAGCACAGTAAGAGTCAATGTGTCTTTTTCCTGAATGCTAATTCCTCCCTATAGGGAAGACATTCCTGCAGGGTGTTTGTGTGTGTGTGTGTGTGTGTGAGAGAGATGTGTTCCTACATTTCTGTAGCATTTAGCGCGCCGCATTCCCTCCCAGCGTCCGACACAGACCCCCACACAGAGCAGAATTCCAAGAAAATTCCCCTGTCATGTTGTTTCACAAGGTGGACACGCGTTATTGTTGCAGAGTTCCCACCCAGGCACTAGTCTCTTTCTCACTCACACACACACACACACACACAAACAAATCCATCAGGAGTGTCAGAGCGACACAAACAGAACAAAAACAGAGGAATTCCATTTTTGTTGTGATGACTTTATTTACACGGTGGAGGTTGGGATACAAGAATTAAAAATGTAGCTCGATTACATTTGGCGCCTCGTCAACATGCTGTTTAAACATTTATGAAACAGCACTTTGAGTGTTATTCCTCTATGAATAGACTTTGCTGTGCACACACACACACTGTACAGCACCAGAGAACAGTCGTGACAGACGAGACTTATTTTTTACATCAACATGCATCAACAGAGACAATTCACTAGGCAGGTTCATTACCCATCATTCAAATGGGCTGCGATATACGTTTCGTCTTTCTCCACTTACACGTTCTTTACTGAAATGAGATGAATAAGCAGGTTGTGTTTACTGACATGCATCAGTGAAGCTCTGCTGGTGAGTGAAATGTGCATTAAAGTGAACACAGGCAACAATCAGACAATGTCGAACTATCTTTGGTCATCAATACTTCCCACTTCTTCACAGCAAACGGACAAACCCAAAGTGGCTGTTATTTGTCCAATTTTGGCAAAACATCGTAGTTCTTAAACCAAATAACTTTTTAAGTATTTAAGAGGTTTACGTTTAGCTACTCGTTAACATTCTCCTGTCAATATCCATTAAATGATTTCCCCATTTGACCTCCTGTCGACAAAACTGCCATTCATCCTCTCACTGTCAGATATACCACTGTTCATAATATATATCTTTAATAAATATTAAATAATCTCTCTGTTGTCAGTGTTCTATACTATAAAGTGGACATTAACTTCACCACTACGTCACAGCTAAGTTGACCGACAGTAGGCGACTACAAACTTAACGATGCACATCTTGTGTTTCAGCGAACGCGATGGCGTCATTCCACCGACGGTGAGATGTTTGTTCGTGAAGCTGCACGGCGCTAATCAACATGCAACACATTTACCTACCCTACACTTGAGACTGTGTGCACAGCTCATGATATCAGTCCCAGCTGATATGAAAGTCTGTCGTAACATTAACTTTAACGGTCAAGTAGGCTGACTTGATATACTGTTTACAGCACACACTGTTGGCAGATACTGTATTGCATATTGCGGAAAAGTTGGCATGTAATTACTGCACGTGTGTCCTGAAACAGAGAGGCAGTGATGTGTTTCATCAGAGGTACTTTTATTGGTAACATCCATCAAGAACCACCCTTCCTCCTGACACTAAGAAGAGGATGATGATGATATTGTGTGCGTGTGTGATGAGAGTGTACACGTGTGCGTAAACATCTCTCTTGTGTTTCTGTGTCGTGTTAGTGTTCAGGGCTGAGCGATGGACGGATGTCCAGCGTTCTTGATGAGCTGTCCTCTCCCACCACCTCGAGGCGCAGACTGGGCGCGCTCCGCTCCTGGTCCTCTGATTGGACGGACAGACGCAGGGTGCAGCCTTTGGGCAGCAGCTGCTGCTCGTATGCCGCCGCTAACTGGTTGACGACGCGCCGCTCAACCTGAGGGATCGGTGACGAGGTCAGTGGTGAGGATTCAAACCAGTGTACTGACAGGTTTGCCTACTGCGAAGTCTGACATTATTTCCCTTTCTTTTCCTACATTGCATATTTTGTAATCATTTGTTACTTAATTCATATTATAGTCCTGAATGAAAGGTCTATTATTGCTGTTTTGAGCTTTGCTGCGTAAAGATATTTAACTGAAAACTAGTCTTCACCCCTCGCTCGCTCTACTGATCTGTTGCAAAGCTTCCAGATCTACTGTATATACTATAACTTCAAGCCCTTTAAAACGTTGCAGTCAGCGTGTGTTACAGCACCTGCATACCTCATGTTTGATGGAGCGTGCTCCGTAGTGCATGTTATACCCGCCCGCCAACAGGTCCAGAACCGGGCGCTCCCACTGAAGATTTATGCCATGGCGCTGCTTGGCCTAATGACAGGGAAGAGGAGAGGTTAAGTGTGTGTGTGTGTGTGCTGATGTTGGCCTTCAGTAGATAAGAGTATCATAAACAGTCAAATCAGGAAGAGTGGATGCCAGAGAAGGAGAAAGAAATCAGAGGCAGAGAGGAGATACTGTCAAGCAGCATGTCTGCCAGCGCTAATCAACAAGCCCTTAATGCGTTTTAATCAAACACCAGTCGATAGTAGTGATCAGAGCGGCTCATTTAGCTACTGATGTTAACACTCCATTCAATAAATAAGGTGCCGTGTTTAACCCCAGAGACATAACCAGTAATAATGCAACATTACAAATATTAAAGGCGCTGAACATTTCATTTATTTAATATAAGTGAGTGACAAACAAATGGCTCATGAGGATTCTGTAATAATGAGATTTCTGCTTATAGCTCCGCTGCCACATTCAGACAGAGACCAGTTATTATGAGACGTGAACACTTAAAAAATTAAAGATAACAGAAACAAAAACACACACACACACACACACATGAGTCAGGTCCCTATGAGCTGCCTGCAGGGTCCATGCTGGCTGTCAGGACACCAGATGTAATATCAATAATTAAATATTGATGAAGGCTCCACATGTTAAATACTGTAATCCCATTATAGTGAGCAGTAGCGGCACATAATATTGATCTGCGTGTGTCCCTGCACAGCACAGTGTGTCCTCTAGTGGGCCCCGCCCACTGGAGGACGCCCGTGATATAAATGAAGCAGGCTTCGGCGATATGACGAGATTATCGGTCAACACGATACGGTTTGGCCACGATGACGGAACGATTTTCAATTAAGCAACGCCTATTATGAATTCTGCGCAGTATACAGTCTTTCTCTTTTGTTTCTTGCTGTCTCTCTGCTTCACCGCATTGTTGTATCAAAAAAATGCGTATCCAGTCTCAAATCGTCAGTGGGGGAATTTCAATATGGCCCAAACCCTATAATGTAGTGTGCTGTGAAGACCTCTCTGCACGTTGCTACGTACCTTCTTGGCCCAGAAGTTGAGCTCTTTGGTGACCAGCTGCAGGAGCTCTGAGTGACAGAACGGCAGGAAGTACACAATCTCATTGATCCGACCCAGAAACTCGTCCCTCCGATAATGAGCCTGGAGAGGACCCAAAGAATCAACAATGACAACCGCAGCCTCCCAGGCCAATTACAGTACACTGCTGTAGAGGAACAAATAGTTAAACGGCAACATTTCTCACAAATCACAGCAAAAACAAGGTGCATTTTTATCTGCGTGTGTTTGTGTCACGGAGTTACCTTCAGGATCGGTCGAATCACAGAGTCTTTAAACTGTCGGGAGATTTTGACGTCATCACCTTTCTGTACTTCCTCTGGGGAAAAGCACAACGTTAGCATTCATTTCAGTGTAGACTTTATAGTCACCTGATGGCTCTATATGTCTTCACGGTGTCGCACCAAATCATTACAGTTTGTGTGAACATGTTTGCTAAATTGTCGATCCAAATAGTCCCGACTTTAAGTTTAAATTATCTGACAAACTAAATAGTTTGACTGTACGTCATCATCGTGTCGTCACGCTGATTTTAAACGACAGCAACTGATAAAAAATGGATGAAAATGGCAGTGTTAGAATGGGTTCCTAACGTGGGAACTCACGATGTAACGTATGATGTACGTACAAATACAAGGCTGCTGTGCATCATGGGAGTTTGTGATTGCATTTGTTAAGTGCGTGTGCGTTAGTGTTGCTTCTCTCACCGAGGTTGTCGGCCAGCTTTCTGCGGCTGACCACCTCAGCTTCCTCGCGAAGCTGCAGTGCGTGCTGGGCGATTTCGTCACTTGCAATGTTAGACGTCATGATGAAGATGGCGTCTTTGCATTCGATGGTCTTCCCCTTACCGTCTGTGAGGCGACCCTGAGAGCAACGACAGATCCGTTCATTAATTAATGTTACATTTGCAAATGTCTCGTCCGTGTCTGTGTCTGTCTACACACCTCGTCAAAGAGCTGCAGCATGATAGTGAGAACATCAGGGTGGGCCTTGTCCACTTCGTCAAACAGGACAACGGCGTTGGGACACGCCTTCAACAGCTTGGTCAGCTGACCCCCTTCTTCATGTCCCACGTATCCCGGCGGGGAGCCAATGAACTTCGCCACCTGAGAGATGAGGGAGAGAGGGTGCACGAAATAATTTAACAATGTAACAAAAAGAGTATTTTGCCAGGAACACACTTTAAAATCCTTTAAAAAGTAACCACTGGATGAACATACCGAGGTGAAATGTTCATGAGCATCGTAACATGAATCTGAGTCACTGATTAAATGTATTCATCACCAAAGCATCACATAATAGGGCAAAAACAGCATTAATTTGGGTTTATGTGTCCATTGTGAGTACATAAACAGAATTAATCCAATGCATCAGTACCATTCATCTGCAGCAGAGTGATGCGACTGTAACACTCTCTTTTGAAATGAATGAACCTCTCTTAGAGCAACACAATCCACACAGTATGTGTGAGTCAGTCATTAGAAACAATCAAACACTTTAACTACCTCCTGACTTCACTCTCGTGTAATGTGGAGCAGGTGAAACGTGTCTCACCTCGTGTTTTTCCTGGAACTCGGACATGTCCATACGGATGAAACCCTGCAATCACACGATGGGTTAAAGACAACACGCTGCCGTATCAAGTGTGTATCTCCGCCTCATTTCTTCAAGGCGGGAAGTAGCGCAATATTAAAGACCTTTTGACACTGGTGTGTGTGTGTGTGTGTGTGTGTGTGTCTGACTGACACTTCATAACGTACCTTCTTCAAGTCCTTGTGCATGTAGCGAGCCACCTGTTTGGCCAACTCTGTCTTTCCTGTGTCACCCGCCATCAACCAGAACAGAGACATGGTTGAGTTATTTTTATTTACACATATATATATATATATATAAACAACAGTTGCTGCTTTTTTGGAATGCAGAGATTTTAGGGAAAACAAGCTTCTTCATTTCAGACAGGAAGACGATCTCTCTCCTCCTCTAAGTGCCGGCCTAAATCCCAGCGTCTCCGCCTGCAGAGCTTTCAATCATCTCCTGCTCTCCAGAAGCACACATTACGTTTGCCGCTAAAATATTCTGCATATAAATGCTCATATAGGATATTGATGTCTTGTGTTTGGTATGCGTATGGGTATGATGATCGTGTGTGTGTGTGTGTGTGTGTGTGTCTTGTTGCTGTGTTTAATATTGATGTCTCATGGCCACGGTTTGTCGCTGAAGGCAGCAGAGAATATGAACACCGTCTTTCCTTCATCCATCTCTCAGGCCTGTCATCTCACCATCTCCCTCTTTTTCAGCCATCTATCTGGCCCTTAATATCCCTCCGTCTGCCTCCTTCCGTCACCAACACACACACACACACACACACACACACACACACACACACACACACACAC